CTTGGTAAGATTTTGTGTTTTTACAGTCTACTGTTTGCAAAGGAGTGTATTTAGAGGTATCAGTGTAAAGGGGAGTGGAAATAAAAAAAAAATGCAAATCACTGTTACGAATATTTATTTGCAAATCGTTTTAACGAAATACAATAACATCTGTGACATGACGGGATGCGAACAGGTTGAAGAGGCGCCTTTGCGGGTCACTGTAAAACTTTAATCTGCAGGACATTTTGATCAACAGTTAATCTGCAGTAGAATTTCTATTTAAAGGCCGGGGGCTCATTAGCCAATAGATCTTAATCCTATTACTGGCTGGATGGTGGGGGACCATGAGCCCTTCTGTCAGTCGCTTGAGGGTGTGCGGGCGGCATGTGTGTGTGTGTGTGTGGATAGAGTGGGGGTGGGGGGATACTTTTGCAGTACAGATGTGAAGAAGGTCATACGCGGCACACTGCCATTTTCATAATGAGAGCAAAGCATCATGCATCATGCACAATCATAAAAAAGCCATCACCGGCCAAGCAGACACATTTAATCACGGCACATGTCGGGAGCTAACATATTTAGCCCCGCCGCATAATAACAGGCTTTATTCCCTCCTTCACGTGGGTCTGGCCCCGGGTTTAATTAAATGTTAGCCGAAATATCAGAGTAATCTCTCTCTCTCTGTCTGTCAGTCTGTCTCTGCGTGTGTGCGCATTATGCTCATTGTTAACAGCTGAATAGTTCTCGGATGATGTTTGCAGGGATGCCTGCTGTAATAACGGAGAGGTTTAACGTCGGCCCGTTGTAAGCGGGGAGAAGAGTGAGCGTCTGAAAAGGAGACACAAAGAACAGAGAACAGAGAGACGAACGCAGAACGACGGGGGAGACAAACGCGGGGAGGAGAAAACCCGGAGCACTTAATCTCAGTGTTGCTATAAAGACGAGGAAGCAGAGACGAGGATTTTTTTTTTTTCCCCGAGTGCATCTCTGTGAAAATAAACATAAGCTCCATCCACCGACAGCAGCCACCCAACGGCTGAAAGAAACCGTGCCAGAGCCATTTGTTCAGGGTCTTTCTTTTTTTTTTTTTTTTCCACATGACAGAGTTTTTTTCCCCCTCAATAAAATAAATCGAGAGTGCACTGACTTTGGAAATAATCTGTTTACCTGCATGTCAATGCATTTTGCTACATCTTTCTGCCGGGGCATTTTTGTTACGACTCAGTCTCGTTAGAATGTGCTTCTTGTTTCCAGTTAGTTTTCTTTCTTTCTTTCTTTCTCTCTTTCTTTTCATGCCCTGCTATCTTTTATTGATACCGATGTCATTCTCTGGCTGCGAAATTGTCTTTGATCAATAAAGCCTTTTGGTCTGGATGCTCTCAAATGCAAGACAAGTTGTTTTATTAATTACGAATCAGTCAGAGTCCAGAACGCCCAAGAGGCGAGAGTGAAAGCGCAATATCTGAGTAAAAAGCTGATTCTGAAGCAAACGTATATCGACTGTACGTGTCTTATTGTCTCCCCCTCAGACATTGACGAGTGTGCGGACGGCTTTGTTGAGTGCGATAGTAAATCCACTTGTGTCAACTTGCCCGGCTGGTACCACTGCGAGTGCCGCGACGGCTACCATGACAACGGCTTGTTTTCCGCCAACGGGGAATCGTGCGTAGGTGAGTTGTTCCTTTTCTTTATTAAATATTCAAAAGTTTGGTAGGAGCGAACTCCAGGTGTCCCTTTTTCTTTGACACTTGAAATGAAGAAAATATCAGGCATGGGCTGGTATCCGATTCTCATAGATCTGAATATTATGTTCTGTCAGTCTGCTGTGGAGGGTTAAAGCTCTTCTGCCACCATCAGAACCAGAGACTTGAAAACAACCTGATAAAGAAGGAGATTATCATAAAATCCACAAAATTACAGACAAGCACGAGCCTCCTCTTCATCAGACTGCTACATACCAACAGAGCGTCTTCAGTCAGAGGCTTCATCAGAGTCTCTGTAGCACAGTCAGCTACAGGAGTTTGTTCTTGCCCACAGCAGTCATTTTTATTCCCTCTGGGATTAATGAAGTATTGTTGAATTGAATTGACTTGAATAGAAATGCTAGTTTTTATGGTGTCTTGGTGTTAACAAGTAACATTTTGTATTAATACAAAAATGGATAATGTTGTGTAATTCAAAGAATCTCCATCGTTTTTAGCCCTTGAATAACAATTTGGGAGGAAACTAATCTAAACTAAATAATTATTAAGAGCTAATAAGCTTGAGGTAATTTGTTTTTATCAGAGCTGATAAGGACAAAATAAATAAGAACAAAGTAAAATACAAGGTTTTCTGAAAATAGCGTCCAGTTACAGAGCTGTGAGACAATATTATCTCTATTAGCTTCTGTTGTCCCAAACTGTCACAGGTATTTATATATGAAAAAGATTACATGAGTAAACCTGAGCTGTCCCTTTAACAGGTGATGTTAAATGCTGAATGATGCTGCAAATATATGAAAAGGAAAAGCTAAATAAACTAAAAAAATAATAATAATCAGGTGAAAAGCTTGTTTTCAGGATCGTATCAGAGCTGGAAACTGAAGATGAAGCATGTAACAGGCAGATGGGACCATAAGATCTGAACAGATGAAGAAGAGGAGGCTTTTAGATGGTCGTTATTGCAGCTTGGCAAAGTTGAAAGTCAAATCGTGTTACATAAAAGGCAGAAATATTAGAAATGATGCTGGTAAATCAAATACTTGCAGACATAATTCAGCTTAGTGCACAAGTAGCCGTCTGTTGCTGACAAAAAAAGTTCAAGAAAAAACTTTTTTCTTAAAAGTTTAACTTTGTAACAGGACATTGTGTTAATCAAATCTCTCAACAGCCTAAGAATTCAGAAATTGATAAAAACTATTCAATCAGGAGAAAAGAAGAATAAGGTCTCCAAGTGCCACCGAGAGATTACTTTACAACATCATCAAAATAATATTTTCAGTTTGTTCTGTTTTGCATTTACAAAGAAAAAGCTGGTAGTTTCTCATCAGTGAGGGGCAAAAATAAATCCAACATGGCTGCCATCTGTTTCAAAACTACGTCATGACTTGCTGTTAAATGTTTGCTCTACTAAAAGCTTTTATTTTTTTAAATCTTACACATAGTAGTATGTGCATGAAATTCAGTGAAACACATTAGTGTTAGCTTGTCTCTTAGCACAGCAATCGCTGCGTCTCACTAGTTTTAAGACTTGGTTGAGTTGGGTTTTGTGTAATTCCCAGATTTTAAATTTCCATCTTCAAGTAAATAAATACAAATATTTCTCTCCTTAATGTAAACATAAAATAATTTCCACAGTATTTCTCGTTAAAAATAGAGAAATGCAGCCACAAATTTAACCATTGTGACTGAATTCAGTCCAAAATGTGATCAGTGAATCAAATTAATTTGTTTTGCTTGCAGGTTTGCTTCATGTCTCAATTTCAGAAATAGAGTTTTGAAATTTAGGAGGCAAAATAGTTTCCCTGATAAGAAGTTCAGTCAGCTTCTATCAAATGTTTTTGACTCAGGGAGATGCATGTCGTTTTTAAGTTCTTTTTGCCTCCCTCTTGCCTAAAAAAATGTCTCTTTTCTTTCTGAAGCCTGTTAATTTTTTTAAAAAAACAACATTTTCTTAGCACGTCGGCAGACATGTGGAGGCTGTCGGAAGCGAAACCCTCAATCAACAGAAACACGGAAGAAATGGGCGCAACAATTGAGCTGGTGGTGCTGCTCCATTCTTTGACCCCCATCTTGGCCGTCATCTGGATCTGAAAGGGCCGAGAAAGAACGCGCATTAAAAGCACTCTGAAATAATAATAAAAAAAAAATACATAAATGATAACAACCTGTCTGCACCTCTCAAAAGCAAAATTTGGCCAAAGTGGGTTTCTGGGTTACATTGCTGTCTCGCGCTGCAGAATTGACGCGCCTGCATTGCTCTTCTGCATCAAAACCAGACTTAATTTCTTTCTTTTTTTTTATGTCCTTTTTTTTATTACTATTATTATTATTTCCAAGCAGATCATGCACAGAAACAGCTTTGCCTGCACAGAGCATATGCATGATGTCATTCCTTTGTGCTCCCTGCAGATATTAACGAATGCAAGACGGGGAGGAACACCTGCGCCAACGACACAGTGTGCTTCAACCTGGAGGGAGGCTACGACTGCCGGTGCCCCCACGGGCATAACTGCACCGGCGACTGTATCCATGACAACAAGGTCAAGCACAGCGGGCAGATATGGGTGCTGGACAGCGACAGGTGCTCGGTGTGCTCCTGCCAGGTAATAAACAGGGCAAGATGGAGAACAGAGAGAGCTTAAAGGTAGGGGTGGGTGGAGCTCTGCAGACAGAGGGGCAGATGGCGGAGCGGGACATGTGTTCCCAGCAGGCACCGGGGCGCGGGACGCTACGGTTACGAGGTTGGGATAACCTTGTATCTAGACAGGTTGATTTCATTTAAAGCAACAAATAAAGCTGCTGTGGCTAATAATAGTGCCCCGTATTGCAGTCGTAATGACTAATTTTATGATAGCCGCGGTTGTAATAATCACTATAATGTTTAGAGGCCACTTGATTTTCATCTACAGATGAAACATAAGGTGCATGAGTGGATACGTACGGGCGAATGAGCTGAGCAGGTCACACTGATTGTTGAGTTTTGTAGAGAATATGAAAAGCAAGATCAAAATCTTCATGCAGCAGCAAGTAATGAGATCAAATTTAAAGATGTTAAAAAATGTAAATACAACAAAGATTTTGCCTTTCTTTCATGCATTTTTTTTTCAAAATTAATCAGTCACTGTCAGTCAGCAGTTCAACTAAAATAAAACTAAATTATTTGTGGAAATTATGACATTCTGCAGTTGAGTTCATTTGTAAGGTCACATCAGAGTCACTAGTTTCCATATGCATCTCAGTATCTTGCTCATGAAAAGCTGCTTGTTTTACCCACAGACATGTTAAATGTCAACAAACTACATGACCTTATTGGCTGACCCTGACCGGTGACCTTCTCCCTGTCCGTGAACTCACCGAATGTCATCAGTTCGTTCTTTTGGGGTGGTAGTTGTTACTCCATAAACATACCAATAGTTAGCTATTTAGCTATTCTTAGCATTAAGTATGTGTTTAAAAATGAAGTTACTGGAAGAAAAATGTTTAGATATTTATTTTTCAAAGGAAACTTAGTTTTCTGTGGATGCACTCCAGCTGTTCAGTCAAACACGTTGACAGGTGCTGGTCATTTTGCCCCTTTGGTACTTTGGTTGTTTTATCTTCTTCTTCGCAGGCACAAAAAAAAGCCCCGTTTGCCACAGCATGTTAATTTGTACCCACCCTAGAGAAATTTCCTCAAATTGGCAATTGGAGGCTGAACGTGCTGCAGCAAAGTTCCTCTATTTGGTCCTTTTGTGAGAGGTCAACCTCTGTCTGTCATGAAACACACTGGATTTGGAAATGCGTGCAGTAACTACTTGGGCTAAGACAAGGGTCTGGATGCTCCACAGACATGATAAATGTCTGTGCAGCACACAGGCTGCTGCTCACCACACTAACTTTACGATGCGTTGAAACAAAGCATGTCCAATTTACATGTAGTGTTTGCTTTAAATAAGTAGCAAGCATACCCACTTGTCCCTGCAAGGACAAGTGGGTATTTTTTTTCTTTCTTATAAGAGTAAGAAAACTAGTGGAAACCCGCTTTTTCTTCCATGCGACGGAAGCCGTCCCCTACGGGGCTAATCAAATGTCACCTCCGTCCTTCGTAAGGAAGATGTCTTCCTCCCCAACAAATGACATTTGACAATAGACTGTAAAGAGACAGGGAGAGTTGTGTCTTTCTATTTTAATTAATAAAAAAATATACTTACTAGCAAAGGAGCAATCATGACACTGTTAAGTGAATAATCGTATGGCTCACGGACAGTGTTTGTTAACGCTAAAGTGCAAACACGCTGCTGTTGGATCTTCAAAAGAGACAAAGTGAAGTGGATAATGTAAGTTCTTTGCAGCAAATTATACTTCATCTTCTGCCTCTGTGGGGAAAAAAAAAAAGATTTATACTGTAGTTTGCACTCATTCATAGTTAATAATTGAGCAGATAGTGTAACTGCATGTTCATAAAGCGGCACAAATAAATATTTTATATCACCAGTGGGTAAAATGAGTTTTATGTAATGTGTTTGCAGTGACAAACCCACAAAAATTAACAGCTAACTTTTTCCGT